TAGTGGGTACGCCCCCCATTACAGGTATACCCTTGTATACGCCCTTGCCTGATTATGACTAATAAAGTTGTATATAGAACATTAAACATTTCTTACGCAGAAAAAAGATAATTGGAAAAATATTTCTGCAGTAAACTTAGTTTGTTTTGTTGTAATCTTTGATATATACAGTACCTTTTATGAAAAATGTTAAAATTTAAATAAATGATACAAATTTTCTAGATTTAATTTGAAGTAAAAAAAATGTATCGCTTAAATCAAAGATTATAAAAGATGAAATTCCATTTTTTTTCTCAAAATATTTTCCATTTCATGTAAAAGATGTTTAAAGTTTTATATACAACTTTATTGGTCATAATTAGGCACTATTTATGATAATTGATAAAAACTTCTCATATTTGAGAAACCTTTCATGCCACTAGTACGAAAATTTTGTAAAATATCTTTTATTTAAATTTAAAACACAAGGTTATCTCCTGAATTTCACAGGCACATTTTAATGTATTGCGCATGCTAATTACTGCATGTCTGCACAGCGGAGGCTCATTGCGTTCGGGGGTTCCCTCCCTACATCTCATTTCTCGTAACAAATCTCCCAAAAAAGGTTCAAATAGATTTTGGTTTATTTGCTTGCTGAGGACAGATTTGCCTGCAGAAATCTGTAAGCGTAAATTCAAGTGACCCTCAAAGAAGTAAGAAGTAAGAAGTAAGAAGTAAGAAGTAAGAAGTAAGAAGTAAGAAGTAAGAAGTAAGAAGTAAGAAGAAGTAAGTAAGAAGTACGAAGTACGAAGTAAGAAGTAGTAAGAAGTAGTAAGAAGTAGTAAGAAGTAGTAAGAAGTAGTTAGAAGGGATATATATATATATCTGCAAGAGTGAAACCCCTTTTTGCCAATAAGGACAATTTACATTTACGAAGTTCTGTGTTTGTTTTTATTTATTTATTTTTTTTCAAGATGTAACTACGTAGAGACTACATAATAATGTTTCCGATGGTCTGGGGGAGAAATAAGACACAGGAATCTGAAACAAAAACAATTTATAACAGATCAATATTTTTCAACCAGTGCTTAGGATCCATTTAATTTTGATCCTGGATCCGCACTGGGAAAAAATGAATCCGGATTCAGGCCATTTCTAAAAGATTTACTGAATCTTTTAACAAAAAACAATTATAAAAATTTTGTTTTATTTTATTTCGCATATTTTTATCCTAAAACTTGATGAACCATTCAAAAATGAGGAAATTTTTACAATCTCTCTTTTTTCTCCCTCAAAGTTCAGATTTTGGCTTTAGGAGAAAAAAAGGTTTTTTTTGGCAGTTTTTGGTTGATATTTTACCCCTTGGATCCGGATCCGTAGATCCGTATATTTTTGCGGATCCGGATCCTTAGCACTGTTGTCGTCAACAAAATATTTGGTGGTTGTTAATTTAAGGAAAATGATTGAAAAATAGGGTTAAACTACAAACACCCATCTTTAAAAATTTTCCTTAATATGCACATTGTACATGTTATATTATCCCCCCCCCTCCCCTTGGTGGAAAATGTATACCCGTTCTCTGGTACCTAATGATGATCCTCAGTCTCGTATCCGCTGGGAAGAGCATTGAGGTGGGGGTTGTGGATTAAGCTGTGGTTTCCATCTCCCCAGGGAAACTTCTAAACAATATATTGAAACTGCAACATCATTCAGATACTAGGGACTAGGGACACTTAATAACAGAATGCATTGTCTGGAAGACTGGGTTGTTAGGCGACGACACAAGGTTGGATTGAGTTAGTATCATCGGGTAGAAACTCACGTGTTAGTTAAGGTTGATGGGATATAGGAAACAAAAATAGTCTTAACCATGGCTCCGGATTCCAAACTATAACAGAAAGATGACAAAAAGAAGATCTGGAGGGAGGTTGAAATTTGTTAAAAAAATAAAGGGGGATGATTAAAAAAGATTACGGATTCAATAATAAAACAAGATCAAAATCATTAATAAGAGCGATAAAGTATACAAAAGTATATCAAGGAACTTCAGGAGACTTGAATATTCAACAGATGATTATATCGAAATAATTCAACATTTAGATCCGTTGTTTTCATAGATAACGTCCAACCTTTATATGAAATAAATTACCTTTGTCGAAGGTTTTTTTACGAAAAAAAATTATCTTCATACAAAATTGACAAAAACCCATCACAAAGATTGTTTCAATCGTAAAATGATTTAGATATCACCGATAATTTACTTAAAATCCAATTTTTTTTTAAATAGTCAAATATAAATGAAATACATCCATTGTGCAGTGTACACAGACCAATATCGCTTAATTGATTTTGAAGCTCTGCATTCTAATGATATCAAATATTAATAGAATTGCTTAAACGTCGTCGAAGTCTTTTTTAATCACGGATCATTCATTTTAGATGTTTCCTATTCGGAGTAAGTTCTCAATATTCAACTTCGGTTCGAGCTTAGGTTGAACTTAACATTGACATTAACACTCCTGTGTCCGAATTTAATGAATTTAAGTCGTGTCTCAAATCCCCCAAAAACAGGTTTGAATTGAACGCCAGCCTAAATCTTGAAAAATTGAACACAATTCTAAGTAAAACCAACCAAATTTGAGCAGCGGCTCAAATTCTTTAAATTCGGCCTCTGTATATTGTTAGTTATCTAAAGCAGCAGCAATATGATTGCTTACAACTACTAGTTAATGATCTTCATATCCAGCTGGAAGAGCGTTGGCGTGTGGATTATGGAAAAGGGAATGGTTTCCATCGCCCCAGGGAAACTTCTAAATATGATAAAATAATATCCTTCTAATAAGTTCTCTAATAAACTAGAAATCTGATGACCTGAGATGTCCGCGATGCGATCAGGGGCGAAGCNCGTCGATTTTTTAACCCCCCTAAACCATGTTCATTGTAAAACCCATTCATCATGTATATCAAATTTTGGGTTTTAGTTGGGTTCGATTTCAATTTTCTGATCATTTCTGGCCCTACCAAACTATCAAATAAAAGCCTTTCCTTCCCACCTTACAGTTATCTTCTTTCCTTATTTATACCCTATGATATACGTCAGTATGCTTGATGTTTATTTCACTTATTAAAGGGAGTGTTCGCGAAAAATGAAACGGGGTATAGGCTTAATGTGATAAAAAAGCGCTTTTGATCGCTATTAATCTTACTTCTATCTGTTGCGTCTAAAAGGAGAAAATTGTTAAAGACGTCTCATACCGAATAACTTAGCGATCATACAAATAGAGAAAATTGCAACATACGATCTTAGACCGTAAAAAATCAAATTAATTTCAAACAAATCATTCAGATAGTCATCGATAATCTTTCGCCACATTTGTAAATAGTTTATATTTATAATATTTTTGATTTAGTTTTTTTAAGATATTTGTAAATAGTTTATATTTTATAATATTTTTGATTTCGTTTTTTAAAGATATTACTCTGGCGCTGGATTTTCGAACATTCCTGAAAAATATGAAAATTTCGTCTTCATTATCAAAAATCCTCGAAACTGGTATAAAAGTAACTATCAGATCATAAAAATAGAAAATATTATGAAATATCAACTAAATACGAATGCGTCGAAAAAATATCGATGATTATCGGTTGTAATAATTGAACAATTTGTTTGGAATAATTTTATTTATTTATTTATTTTTTTTTTTTTACGATCCGAGTTATATGTTGCAACTTTCTGCATTTGTATTGACGTTACGTTCTTCGGTTTAAGTTGGTTTTAACAATTTTCTCCTTATAGACGCAACAGATAGAAGTAAGATTAGTAGTGATCAAAAGCGCTTTTTTATCGCATTAAGCCTATACCTCCTTTCATTTTTGGTGAACACTCCCTTTAAAAGAAAAATTATGTTGCTTTTTAATCCTTACTCCCCGCACAAATATGAAATATTGACAGTACCCTCCTTGTATTTCAATTGATCTTTGCTCATCACTTATACGTGTACTGTACCTTTGTCCTGATGCGAAGATAGTCGTACTCAATGAACTCTGGTCTGGAATGCTCCTCTCCCATTCCGAATGCATTCACGTGTCCCAGGACGATGATGGGGCAGGCAGCGAAGAGGAAAATCTTCTTCCACAGTTTGTAATCTTGACAAACATGATGAAGATATAAAATATTTAACAGAGCCTTTATATTTGTTCAAGAACATCTGAGTTTGAAAAAATCATGTAATGCAGTATTTATCCAAATCAAGTCTGTATTTAGAAATTTTATAAATAATTATCTCAAGAATATAAACTTGACATTGGACAATAATAATAAAAAGTTCCAAAGGTGGAGTCTCTTGTTTAGCTATAAACCCAAAAATTAATNNNNCCAGCTGGGGGGGTCCAAAAATCGTTCTCTAGGAATATACCCAATACTCATTTCCATAAACCTTAAAATAAAACGTGCCGTAAAAACTAATAGTACTTTTCGGCGACTCAAAATTTAAATTCCAAAATAACAGTAGTTTTGTAAAATACCTTTTAAAATAATTAAATAAATTGAAACCTTTATAAGAAGCCGACTACAATTCTTGATCAAGGCAGCCATGGTTGTTCGTGACTATTCGCTGTCTTACAGAATTCCAGCTGATCAGTGGCAAGGCACAACAGACTACAGAGTCCTCTAGCGGAGAATTACAGATTATCAGCTGATTCCTTTCTACTTCATAATTACGGGGCATTGCGCGTTTATCGGGTGGGCCGTTCAATTTTTTATTTTGTAAATATTTATTTTTCTGATTTTTTCTTCAGTAAAAAGATATTTTTTCCCGTTTATATTCCATTTTTCAGAATCCCAGTAAATGAAGCGTAATAATTGTATATATAATTTAACAATGCGATTAAAACTTTAATAATACGTTAATTTATTACGTAATTTATTTATTTTTAACTAATCCATATCACCAAAAAGTTAAGAAATTCTTTTTTTTAAATCTTAACCGAACGCAGAATTAATAAAATTCTATTAAGTTTTTGTTGCCAGGAACTAAATTGGAAGAATATGGCGTATACATTAATCCCCCTTTCTAAATTAAATACATCGTTTTGATTGGTGGAATTCTAGAACGGAATTTTTCCAACCAATCACAGACTGTTGTGTTCTTTCCTATTAAAGGCGAGTCTCGAGTAGTAATACTAAATTGAGCGGGAAATCTAAAGTGATCTTAAAATTTTTGACATTTTCGACTGTTGTAATGTCATATTTGGGTTCATGATAAGTACTTTATTTTTATTGCAGAAAATGTGCCAATTTATTGCATATTTCGTCGATTTTCTTGAAGATAGGATGGCGGGAGAAAATATTGTCAGGAGGAGGCAGGTAGAATCCTATTCCTGTTTCAAGGAGGCAGCTGGTAGGAGCTGTAAGGAGCCAGGATTGGTTCTAAACCACCAACCATTTATACTCAACCGTAGTTGTAGTTATATGAGGTAGTATTTAAAATATGTGATGGTTGTTAGATTAACAAACTTTATACAAACTCTGTAAACACACCAAATTTAATGAAATTTTAATGATATTTGGTGGAATTTCTAACTTTTTTTTCGCTAACATTCTGTGTTTGTTCTTGTTTATCTCCCTTAAACAGCGTTTAGTGTTTGGAAATTCAATTTTAAAGCAAGTAAAGGGGTCTTTTCTAGAGACCAACCCAACCATTTCCTTATCTTGAAACCTTTCCTCAACCTGAACCATTTGCTCAACTTGAACTTTTTCATCAACTTCACCCATTTTCTGATCTTGAACCAATTAAACCAATTAAACCAGCTTAACCATTTCCTTGTCTTGAACCATTTCCTCAACTTGAACCATTTCCTCATCTTGAACCATTTTCTCAACATGAACCATTTCCTCAACATGAACCATTTCCTCAACTTTCTTCAACTACTCCTGAGAATTGATTTGATTCTTATCAGCAGGGGAAACGAGTAGAATCAAAATGGGTGACAACTTAACCCTGAAATGGAACGAGCACTCAACTTCCATCTTGTCAGCGGCAGCTAATCTCTTCAGTACAAGTGGGCTGACAGATGTAGTTATTGGAACAGCTGACAGGACGTTCCGAGCTCACCGTCTTGTTCTGTCTATCTGCTCAACGTTCTTTGCAGGATTATTTGACCGCAGCGGAGCACTGTCCGGTCAGCTTCATCCTTATATATATATGCAGGTCAATATATTTTGTTGTTAAACTATTCTTTCACTCTTCACCTTTTTGATACTGTTTATATCAACACACTAGACGACGTTTCTATCCAGGTTTGATTTATAGCGAGATTTTTCCAAATAATAATTGCAAGTGAGTGAACATTTAAAGAATCTGTTAATTGACAGCTTCTGTTAGTTTCCATTTATCGTTCATTCCTAGCTGTTTGAAAGCTTGTATAAATTGAAATAGTAAGTCGTCTTTATTGTCTTGATCTACAGGACGACGACTGTACAAGTTTGAAGGTTTTTTATCTCTAAATATTTTAAATAAATAAATTTCCCCTTCTCCTTGGGGGCAGCCATTTTTTCGCTACATTATAATAAAAATTACAATGTTTAGTGATAAATTTAATGTTACATTAAATAAAAGTATTTAATTTGCATATTCAAAAATTTGCATCCTTTTCCATACTTTTTGTCCCAAAAATATCTTACCTTAAAAATCATTTTTCCTCGTAATATCCTTAATTCAGCAATTATAACCCTAAAAGAAAATTTCCGCTCTGTGCAGACTTCCGGGAAAGCAAAACATTTTTGAAGGGGGAATGATTGTTCAAAGAAAATTCACACCCCTTGTCCTGACATAAATACTTTTAGGATATTCCATCAAAACATATAGACGTCCTACTCAGGTTCGGCAATTATATCCTCCTCTTCACCCCCTTCAACCGTCATTCTGTATTTTTTTAACGAATTAATTGGTGAAAATTGTTGTTATTTCAGAAATAACAACGCTTAAATATTTCTCAAGTCAATTAGAAATGATATATTTAAAAATTCATCAAAATTAAAAATATAAAAATATATAGGGTAAGTAAAAATAAAGTCATTATCGGCGTCTGGTTCAAAATTGTACTTTTTTTGTGCAACTCTCTTGTATGCTATTATTTTCAATATTTTTAGAATTTTTTTTGTTACTCAAATTCGAATGATATATACTTTGGAGAAAAAAACTCAGCGGGAGCGGTTGAATGAGCGGTTGAGATCTAGCCTTGACTCTACGCAATTCAGAATAAGAAATGCGTCTTTTTTCTCAAACTTAAAATTTTTAAAAAAAATAAATTTTTGTTTTTTTGTCTTTCATATTTTTATTCACTTTTTAAAATTTTTTAGTAGTTAAACACAATTTTTTGCTTTTAACCGCTGGGTTAAAGACTTTTCAGCAACTTTTTTCCTTTTAACTACTTGCACTGGGTTGCTTTTAACCACCATGGAAAATAATTTTTTTATGAAAGACGATTTCTTTCCACCACAGGTTTTAAGATTTTTCGGCAACTTTTTTGCTTTTAACCGCTAGGTTCAGGATTTTTCAGCAACTTTTTTGCTTTAAACCTCTGGGTTGCTTTAACCACTGGAAAACAGTTTTTCATAAAAAATGTTTTCTTTTAACAACTGGTTTTAAGATTTTTTAACAACTTTTTTGCTTTCAACCGCTGGGTTTAAGATTTTTCAGCAACTTTTTGCTTTCAACAAAAGTTGCTGAAAATTCTTAAAATCAGCGGTTGAAAGTTAAAAGTTGCTGAAAAATCTTTAAACAAGCGGTTGAAAGCAAAAAAGTTGCTGAAATATCTGAAAACGGTTGTAAGCAAAAAAGTTAATGAAAAATCCTTAAAACAGCGGTTGAAAGTAAAAAAGTTCTGAAAAATCTGAATACCGGCGGTTACAAAAAAAAAACAATTTGCCGAAAAATCTGAAAACCAGCGGTTGAAATCAAAAAAAGTTGCTGAAAAATCTGAAAAGCAGTGGTTGAAAGCAAAAAAGTTGCTAAAAATTCTGAAAAAGTTATTCATGAAAAATTATATTTCATTTGTTGAAAAAGTGGGATTTAGCGGTTGAACAAATTGTAAATTTCTTCTTAATTTCTTATTCTGTACTGTGTAGAGTCAATGCTAGATCTCAACCGCTCCCGCTGAGTTTTTTTTCTCCAAAGTATATAGCATTCCTCAAATTCTAAAATTTCGTTAATATTGAATAACAGAATTTCAGAAAATTCGCAAAATTGTTATTTGAAAATTCGCAATTTTCAGTTCTGGGCTAATTTTTAAGGAAAAGTTGTTTTTCAATGGCCCCTCAGTTTTCAAATACAAATACAAATAGCGTAGCGTATATTTATAGCTTTAGAATATACTTAGAAGAAATTAAACTAGAGGACCTAATGAACTTAACTGAAAATTGCTAATTTTCTTATTTCAATTTTGTAAATTTTCTTTGATTATGTGATTTAATTTATATTAAATTCTAGAATTTGATAAAAATAATATTAATACACAATTTTGCTTTCTGAAATTTTGATTTGAGAGAAAAAATGTTTCGCGGATTTTTTTTTGGCCATCGAGTACCAAAAAAATGAAAATTTTTCAAAATATATTGGATAAATACCATACAGGAGAGTCCGAATTTAAAAGGTACAATTTTGCATCAGACGCCGCTAATCACATTCTTTTTGACTTACACTGTATTTAATTCCCCCCCC